TAATTGTATGTTCTAACAACTCTATGTTTACTACACAGGTCATACAGTTTGGATCCATAACAAAATGTGGCCAGGTACATTTGGCAAGGTTACAGTCATGGTAGATGGATCAGAAAGGAGTAGTGGGAGTTCAACTGCTCACCACGGTTTTAGTGTTCAAGTGTATGATGATATAAAAATTTTTAACCTTTCATTCGCTGTCGAGCTTTCAGGCAAAAAAGATAAGACTCGTGGACCATTCAGAAATCACCGAGATTACGAATGGAAAATGACTGGTAGTGTAGATGGATGGGATATTGAAGAGCTATCCTAATAATATTCCCCTTTCTTATTTCTTTACCAAAAAATTTCTATCTAAATCATGATGTTATATTTTCATATTAACTTTAGCATAATTTAATCATTTCATTTTACTATACAATTAAACAATTAATTATTTTTACCAATTTCTTAAAATACATTCTGGGATTTATTTGCATTTTGATAATACCGATCTTGAGCATGTTTCATAAACTTACTACCTGGCCGGTGAAGATATTTGATTACTGCATTGCTGTATTATTTTTGCAGAATTTACTTGTTATTGATACTGTTGTACGTGAAAATGAAATTATGTGGAATTCAAATTAGCCAATCAGAATTTCACCCCACTCCATAATATTTCAATTTCGGGTCTGATTCATTTCGTCGAAAGTTTGTTTCGTTGAAAGTTTGTTTCATCGAAAATTCGTTTCGTCGAATGTTCATTTCGTCAAAAGTTTGTATCGTGTTCATTTCGTCGAAAATTATTTCGTCACAAAAATTAAACAAATTTCTCCTTACACTTCCCACACACTCCACTTTCCTCACCTAATTTCTTAACTAACTTCCCACACTCCTCACATCTAACTCGTTCGGTCTCTGGCTCGAGGAAACGATTTTTATTATTCCCTAAAAAAGCAATTAAAAAAAATTACTGGTCACAGATCTATAGTAATAGTAAATTCGAATTTACATAGTAAAAAAATTTTATAATCGAATGTCTTACATTCTTGCTTGATACCCTCCCTCACTGTGTAGCAACCACCACCAAATCTAATAGATAGTTTTAAATTGAATTAATTATTGGTACATACATATATTTTTAAAGAGAGAAAAAATTAGAATATCATTAATGATGATCTTATATTTTTTTTAAAATGTCTAATTGGAAATCCAAAATTTATTTGATCATACTATAACAGATAAAAAAATAAATTTAGATAGAATTATTGTTTATTTCTAAAAACAATAAACATAATAATAATAATATATAATAATAAAATACACAACTGTGTAGTCAACCCTGTTAAACCAAAAATTTTGCATGCATATTCTACAGGACCTAGGCTACAAGCCATATATACTTATTATGTGTGTTTTTGCATTATTGA